TATAACTTTCTTGTGCTTTATATTCAACAGTTCCTACTCCACCCCCCACAACAACGCCTTTTCCGACAACACCTTTACCAACTACGCCAGGTATTCAGATGCAGCTTTTTTTTCCAAAGTTTCTTAAGACCGTCACAAGAAGATAATTAATAAGGAAGTATTTTCTCATCATGTTTGACAGATCCTTGCCAAAGGATGGGCTGCAGAGCCCCATACAATATCGGCTGCCGTGTTGTAGACAATAAGGCGGAGTGTTTGTGTCCAACATGTGAGAATACCCGTCGTCGACCTGTTTGTGCAACAGATGGTGTCCAGGACTTAAACGAGTGTCATCTAAGACGCCAAGCCTGCGAGGGAGATATTAAGACCATCGCTGTCGCCAAGGAGGAGCCTTGTGGTATATTTACCTCTCAGTTATCAGTGATGTTGCTGATTACATACATTTTTACCTCTCGTGCGTTTTTTGGTTAAAAAGAACTAATGTATGAAACCACTGGTCCCCATTAGAAAATTCCTGTTCTTTTTCATGATTATATCTTTTTATTGTCACATAGAAAATAGCATTGTAAGGTAGAAACACTCAGTTTATTCTTATTTCCTTAACCAGATAAAGAGTGTAGCGCCGTTGTAGACATTGCATTTGTAATTGACTCATCTGGAAGTATCGGACGCAAGAACTGGCAGAAAATGAAGCGATTCCTCAAGGCGTTTGCCAGTAGACTCGATGTTAGTCGCTCTGCTACCCACATAGCAGCTGTAGCATAGAGTAACAATGCTGAAGTGGTAACAAGATTTAATGACATCCAGAGTACGGAAGAGGTAAATAGAAAGTTTGATGGGATGCGTTGGCAACGAGGCTTCACGTACACGGACAAAGCTCTCCTCCTTGTTGACCGAGATCTGTTACAGACAGCAAACGGGATGAGATCTAGTGCACCTAAGGTTAGAACTGTTAAAAAACTCCTGTGACGATTTTTTTTCCTTTTTGAACAGATAGCGCTTCCCTTCAAGGACAACTAATGCAACCACAAGAAAAATATTTGGGTCACCTTTTCCCTCTCAGAGTCATCCCTTTAATATCGTAATTTTTTAATTGGTCGCTATGCTCGAAGAGGATAATTACCAGTGTAGTTTTTTTTGTGTTTTTTTCTTCCTTTTAAGTCTGTTAATAATGTTACATTGTCATCAAAGTAGCCACTTCAAGATTTATATTCAAAAGGAATGTTATCAACACTGTTTTTGGACAGTTGGCGGTTGTGATCACAGACGGTAAACAAACCACGTCAAAGCCTTACACTAAGCTTTCAGTGGCCTCTCAAGGAATGAAAAACAAAGGTGTCACTGTGTATGCTCTTGGAGTTGGCAATGGAGCTGACCGTGCGGAGCTTTTGGAGATTTCGTCTGGGCCACAGTACGTTTTTACCTCTTCATCATTTGAAGGACTTGAAAATCTCGGCCCACTGCTGACAAGAGAATTTTGTAAAGATAGGGTAACTACCACAGGTAAATGTCTGTGACGACGTGAATGACAGTATTCCCATATTTTCAAGGTCAGAATGTGGTCGAATAATTTTGTCTTTTTGATATTTCTACGATTGTTTTACAGCATATGTCGTTCCTTGCGATTGCGGAGAGTGTGTTTGTTCAGCTCTTGTTTAGGCGTTTGTGTTTTCCTCCTATTCTCTCTCTTTCTTATTACTCTTATTCTTCTTTCATTCCATAAGTTTGTTTTAGGAGATGACTAGATGTCTAAAGCTTTCACATGTTTCTGACTTTTCCTTCATTTTATTCAACAGTTTCAACTCAATCCCTGACAACAACGCCTTCACCAGCAACCCCAGGTATTCAGCTGAGATTTTTTTTTCAAAATTACTCTAAACCGTCACGAGAAGATAATTGCGTTCGACGAAGGAGAACGCAGTTCACGATCTGAGATTTTTCTGTCTACCGTCTGCAGTTTCTACGCCATTCTGAATGACGTCATATGGCATACATAAAATGTATACAACAAATGGTCAAATATGAAAAAATTACCTCCACGTGGCCGACTTTTAGAATTTTCAAGTTGGATTTTCCTTTTATTTCTGATCAAGTCTAAGGATCGTAAAGTGGATATCTACAAACTACCTCGTGATTTTCGCTAGAGTCTGAGCATCCTACAGTCTATAAAGCGGATATTTTCGTAGAAGTCTGAGCAGGTCTGAGCATCGTGAGGCGGATACCTAAAGACTATCTCGTGGTTTTCACAATATTCTGAGGAATGTGGTCTGTGAAGCGGATATCAAAAGACTATCACGTGGTTCGTTTTCTAGTAGTCTAAGGATCGTAGTCTGTTAGTCTAACTCTTTCTTTACCCCTTGAACATTTGTTACACGCATTTTCTCCATCTCTCCCTAAGCGATTAATATGGCTCATTTTAAATTGCCTTTACTCTGATAAATCCATCATCTTCCTAACATGGTTCACCCGTCTAGGTATTCCAGTACCCAAGTTTCGTCCCCACGAACGCAATTTATAATCAGTGATGACTCCTAATTAATATGGAAGGTTTTTTTCCATCAGATCGCACAGATCCTTGCGAATCGTCGGGCTGCAGAGCTCCATACAACATCGGCTGTCGTGTAGTAGAGAATCAAGCGGAATGTATTTGTCCACTCTGTCCCGATGTTCTAAAGCCTGTTTGTTCAAATGATGGTGTACAGGATAGGAGCTTGTGCAATATAAGACGGCAATCTTGTTTGGGAAATAAAGTAGCTTATTCGATAAAAACAGGACCATGTGGTAGGTTCTCCGAATTAGTTTATCTCTCTCCGGACGCGAATTGTTTCAATATGTATGATAAAGAGATTAGTTCATTTTAGATATACAATTAGGAATTCCAACTTATTTTTTTTTTCTTTTTGTAGTTCCAGACGATAAGTTTGCGTACAGTCAATTTCAGTTCTTTCTTACTTAACATCCTAGAAAGGAGGTCATATAATTTACTTCATTCAATAAAGAGGTTAATCTATTCGATCGAAAGTAGATATTGACTCAGATTAATTCATGCAGTGGCTTTATTCTGACTTTCACGTTATCGTGCAGACAAGGATTGTCACCCGGTCTTGGACATCGCTTTTATCGTCGACTCATCCGGAAGTATTGGCAAGACAAACTGGGAAAGAACAAAAAGGTTCCTGAAAGCTTTGGTTAGCAAATTAGACGTTAGTCCTGGGCGTACACACGTGGCAGCTGTAGCTTACAGTACTGACCCTTTTGTGATTATGAGATTCAACGACGTACAGGATACAGACGGGGTGAATCGAGTGTTGGATGGAATGCGTTGGCAGCGCGGCTTAACCTTTACAGACAAAGCTCTCCAACTCGCAGATAGAGATATCCTACAAACCTCAAACGGCATGAGGCCAAATATAGCGAAGGTGATCATCTTTTGACTGTCAAAGCAATCAGGATCGTGGACTAGGAGTCTACCTTACTGAGTATTTTATGGTTCAATTTTACTTCCATCGCTTCGCGCCCGTTAATGGTTGAAAGAGATTTTTAAACAGAGAGATACAATTTGAGTCAGAGGTTTAAAACTGAACAAACCTATAGTTAAACTTGCATTTAAAGTTCCTAAGTCGCGATCTGAAGGAGATGGACTCTTATACGTTTCCATAAACATGTGTAGTTACACCTTCCTCTAATAATTTCAATCCTGGTCGTTCTGACCCAGTCCATTAGATATGCTTCTTAATAGTTGTTACTTCTTTCCAAATTTGCCTTTAAGTTATGTGAAATGGTACTTGGGAGGCGCGCAGCCAAGCCTGGCACCCTTAAATTTCCTCATTTTCTTCACACTAATTTTTTTTCTTGCACTTGGGACGAATCTGATACTTTTGGCCTGCCTCCTTATCAATAAAATGATTTAAGCCGAAAGTCAGGAAAGGGTATTCGCCACCCTCCGGTGTAGTCCGGGTTTCATTTGTGGACCTGACGCCCCATCTGAGTAGAGTTTATTTATTGCTTCTCGTCCTCGTCCTGAGAGTCTTGTCATGCTTTTTACGTCTTGCAAAAGAATATCCTAAAAACCCAAATTTTGATTCGACCTGGAGGTGGTCCACCAACATCGACCTCGTTAATGTGCAACTCTTTATCGCTGTTGCGCTTGTCTTATTTTCGTTTAATGCACGCTCTTACAGATTGTCATTCTTATCACTGATGGGAAGCAGACGAAAGATGGACAATCCCTCAGCCTCCTGGAAGCCTCGGAGGGCATCAAGAAAAAAGGGGTCACCATGTACGCTATCGGTGTCGGTAACGGAGTAGACAGAAATGAATTGGAGGAAATTGCATCCAGTCCTGACAAGGTTTTAACGTCCTCTTCCTTCCGAGAACTTGCAGCAATTGCACCACAGATGCGAAAAGCGATCTGCCAAAGTACGTAATAATTCGTGTGAATTATTTGCATTTAGAGGTTTTTTCGGTATGTTGTTTGCTATTATTTGTCATTCAAACAATAAAATTCTCTGATACCATTTATCATGTGATATGTACCCAGACAATTTTAAGCCAAAGTGATTGTTTACAAGAGAATAATGCTTGTAGGTTAAGTGATTTTTATTCTAGATGTGCCATTTGGGTCGAGAAAGAATTTTATAGTGCTCCTCGAAAAAATGCTTTCTTAGCGCTTGTTTCTTCCCTCAAGGTAGGATTAGAGGCGTTAATTTCACTTTAATGTTTTTAAGAAACTATTTTCCAATTTGGGCTTATTTATATTTTTCATACAAGGTCCCAAGGCCACGCATTTAGCCGACATTATTTTCTTAATGGATGCATCCAGGGAAACTACCTCTACATATGCTACAGAGAAAGATCTCATCAAGTCTTTCGCCAGGTACTTAAACATCGATCCACAAGGAACTCGAGCAGCACTTATTGCATTCAGTGGCAGACCTTCGGTAATCTCCGACTTCGAAAGCTTCAGATCACTACCCGAATTTGAATCAAAGGTTGACAAAGTTCGTCATTTTGGGGGAAGCCGCAGTGTTAGCGATGCTTTAAGAGGAGCGGCAGGGATGTTTCCAAAGTCTCCCTCTTCGGTCTCCAAAATAATCTTCCTTGTCACTTCTGGGAAACCACTGTTACCGCAGGACAAGAAGTCAGCTGGTAACGTCGTTGATGAGCTAAGCGACATAGGAGTGAGGACGTATCTTGCCCTGGTTGGCCCCTCTCCTAATATTCAAGAGTATAGATTCTTAGTGGACGATACAAAAAGTGTATTTACCGTAGAATCTAGCAGTGATGTTCCGAAGCAGATCAATCAAGTTGGAAGTTACATTTTGACTGAAACGGGTAGGTCCTTTGGTATCAATGAGCAATGGAAAACCTTAATGCTTATGCTTTATCATTTTCAAAGGTTCTTAAGATTTGATCGATAAGTAAACTTGATTAGTAGCTGTGTCCTCGAAGTGTGACATATCGTTTTTTGCATTGCCAAAATCATCGCGTTAACCGTTGATGATATATTGTACATGATATACAAGTGAGCAAAAATGAGTCAATTGGCTCGAACAAATCTGGAAATGAAAGTTTCGTAGCCCAGATTACGATCTTTAATATGAAAAACTTAGTATATTGTTTTAAGAATAAGAAGCTGTGACGAAGCTCGGAAACGTACCTTTGTGATTTTTCTTTTTTCTAACAGTTACACCCAAGAAGCTGAATCTCACCACGTATGTTTTGTTTGTTCTTGACTCGTCCGAAGCGGTATCTCCGGCTAACTTCAAGAATCAAAAGGAATTTGTAAAATCCATAATGAGCCAACTAAACTTGTATCCACGCGACAGCGACTCCCGAGTCGGGCTTATAGTTTACAGCTACAACGCAAGAGTACTTTTGAATCTAGATAATCGGGAAAGCAAGTCCTCTCTGGAAAGAATAGTGGATAATCTGCCACACTTGAAAGGAGGCAGAAGAATTGATAGAGCTTTAAAGGCGGCGACCGACGTCCTGAAAGACGTTGGCACTGATAAACCGAAGTTTGTCATCTTGGTGGCTGCAGGCCAGCAAGAACCAGATGCTTTGTCATTCGCGGCTGCTGTCAAACCTCTGCACCAGACTGGAACGAAAACGCATGTCTTGGCAGTTGGGGATGACGTGGATCCCAGTTACTTCAAGGGAGAGGATAAAGTTAAGTCAAGTGTTATTTCAGTTCCTTCTTTCACGGATCTCCCTCAAAAGACAGCAATGCTCACAGAGGACCTTTTGAAAGAATACGGTACGTGCGTTTCCGTTGCTGTAGCCATCTTCGAAGAAGCGTGTGTGGTGTTTGTGTTCTGTAACTATAATTTGTTTCCACCAAAGATTCCTTTATCTTTTGGTGAAAGCATACGCTGCTTCGTTTATCTCGTCTCTGTAAACTATTGGATGGTTAATGTACTTAGGAGATGCGGAAGTTGCATGCTTAGTTGCTCCTGGGTTAATTCTGTCCTTGAAGGGCTTAGGTGCCAGGTCATAGGGAGCTTCGCTGATACAAGGACGCACTTAAAAAGCCTTTTTTGATTTCAAATTGTGTAACAATGACGGGAACTCCAACGCTTAGTGTATTATCCGTATTTGGAGCTCACCTCTCACTTCTGTGGCTTGTTTTAATCCCAGGCCTTATGTCACCTTGGTTTTACGATCCGTTCTTCGCTTTGAACCTGCTGTGCGAGGTGTTTCACCGGTTTTCATTAAAACTATCATTCAAAAATCAGGCGCGACCAAAATCACCCTGAGACGCGGAACCACGCTGCGTTCAATGGCGGAGCATATTTATGCATTAGTTTAGTACTTCATTCAGTTATAAATTGGGGCTGTGGCTTCTAATACCACTTGTGCAAACTTAACCTCTCTCTACTGTCATTTCCAACTCCAAACTTGAATGTCGTTAGCTGTTTAATACCAGTAAGTCACATTGGAATTTTCAATGTAAATAAAAATCTCTCACCAGTGGCGGATCCAGGGGGAGGGTCCGGGGGGTCCGTATCCCCCCTATCAAACCTGACGCTTACAACTTTGAGACAGGATCGTATATCACTTTTAATCCAAATAAACGGTAAGCGGCCAAGGAATTATAACGTGCAACCGCGACTGGTGGGAGGGGGTGTGGGAGAGAAGTAACTTGCCTCAAAAAGTCCAACAGTCCTTTCTGAACCAAAGTTTGGACACCCCCAATCAAAAAGTCCTGGATCCGCCTCTGCTCACTATACCTGACGTCACAAAAACTCTTGGTACAGTATCTCTTTTTGCATAGACAGTATAGCGCCCTGGAAAATGTCCAAATCTTATTTTGGTAACTACTACCTAAGCAATGATTTATTTTTCAGTTGCTCCCACACCCTCAAAGACAACGCCCGAGCAACCTAAAGATCCCGCTGGGAAAACAACAACTTCTCTACCGTCTTCAGGTGAGAACAGTGAATGTTTAGTGCAATAGAGAGAAAGGAAAGCTTCCAAACTATCGCAACGAGTTAACTGAACCTCGAAAGAAAATTTTACAATACAATATACTTACCCGAAATAAATCTGAACGTACCAGGTAGACTACGATAAATACCAACAGAAAGTTTACCGGTAGTACTTTGTGCGAGAGAGATCAGAAGCAAGTTAAACTTTTGACCTTTGATCAAACTTGACTGGGATCTAAACAAAAAGCATCAGTCGTAAAGTTATGCACCAAAGTAGGACTCGCAATCTTATTTTGTACTATGTAAATCTTAGTGTTGCTGCTCTCAACGTTATCTTACAAAATTTTTCACTAACACATGATTTTTTCAGTTGTTTCCACAACCTTAACTCCAATCCAAACAACGCCCAGACCAACAGGTAACAACAGTAAATGTTTACTGAATAACCTTAACGTACAACCAGGTCTCTTGATTCGGAAGAAACGAACTAAGGCCTCCAACCTAATGTAACACGTCAAGTGAACCACGAAAGAAGACGTTTCCTTATAAGATACTTGTGAGCCAATGTGAACGTACCATTACTTCGATAAGACTCACCAAAACGCTTACAGTCCTTATTCTACACATTGCCTGAGAAAAATAAGGCCCTAGTTCAATTTTTTAAGCCTAGATCAACCCTATTTGTTATTTAAGCAACGGTCCAAGATGTAAAGTAGGGCTTGCAGTCATATTCTGTTCAACTAATAGCCCGTGATTTAAGCCATATATGCTCTTCACATTTTTCAAAATAGTTTCCAGTTGGTGACGTAAATCAGGAAAAAAAACACAACGCGCGACAAGCTATTCACGAACATCTAGCTATATCCACCACAATGTAAATTAGCCAACGACAAGTTGCAAGTAACATAGTTGTCATGATTATTTATTTTTCGTGATTTTTTTCATTCTGACTAGATAGTTGTGTAAAATGATATTATTTGATGAGCTGATTTACATTTTAGATGGAGATTCCCCTCCAATGGACGTCGTCTTTCTTTTAGACACATCTAACCGTGTCACCCAAAGCGACCTTGCAAAACAAAAGGAATTTGTAAAACTCATGGCTCAACGCTTCGATGTTTCTCCAACTGCTTCCCATGCTGCAGTACTCAGTTACGGCGACAGAACTATTTTGATTGGTGGATTATACGACTATGTAAGGGGGAAACGGTTTGAGGACAACGTAGACTCTGTAACTCTCATTGGAGGAAAGAGAAACATCCAGGAAGCTCTGAGACAAGCTACGAACCACCTCGCTTCATTTGGACGCGAAAACGTCTCCCACGTTGTCTTTTTGATAACATACGGACGGCAGTCTCCGGAACTTGGTTCTCAACGATTGCAAGAGATGGTGCAGAACGTCAGGGACACTAATGCAATCCTTTATGTCGTCGGGATAGGGATCGACGCCGACGATCCGCAGTTAGGACTTATTGTGGAGAGACCAACTGACCTTTTCGAGATTCCTAGGTCTGGTGACTTGAAACTTAACGTGCCATCAATAGTTTATTATTCAATTTCTAGAGCTGGTAAGTTTTAACAAGGTGGATGTAATTCTCTGGTGAAATCACTAGCTTCGTACGTTCTGCTCCAATCCTATTAGAATAGCTTCATAACTTTAAATCCTGATATGAGACATCCAATTCTTACATGATGCTACAGGAACAATTCCTAACAATAAATGAAAGTGATAAATCGAGATCGGCTTTACTCGTAATGGTCTCTACGGCAAGTTGACCTTGAGCCCTCTTTTGTTGATCATGATAGCAATTGATTTCTTGCATAGAACGAATGAGCACTAATTGCATTATTTGGACGTTCTCAATTTTTGTTTCTTCTGAAAGAATCCAAGGTGCCAGAAGATTACGAAGCTGAGATCATCTATGTTGTAGACTCTTCTTCTATGGTGGGTCCAGTTAACTATCGGAACGGGAAAGATTTCATCAAGGGTCTGGCGCGAGCGCTTAATCACAGTCCCAACTATACACAGTCAGCCGTCATCATATATGATACCTTTCCTCACTTTGCCATCCGTATGGGAACGTACCCAGAAATTGGTCCCTTTTCAGATGCTGTCGACAAGCTTCAGTACCGTGGCGGACAAAGTGGCGGACTAGATTTAGCTTTGCAATTTGCACAAAGAGGTTTTTCCCAAGATCGCTCCGATGTGCCGAAAATTATTGTATTGATTACTTCAAGGGATTCGCCAAACACGGCAACCATCGATTCTCTGGCCGCAACCCTACGTCGAGAGGATATAAATGTAACTGTCCTGGGTATGGGACCTGAGTCAAACTTTCCAAATGTTCGCCGCTTGGTTGTTCGACCAGACGACTTTCTGACACCGAAAGGATTTGATTATTTGCCAAGCTATGTTCCAACGGTTGCAACCACAATTCTATCAGGTTAGTTTTTTCTTCATTATATTTTCCCATTATCAGCTAGGGAGGACTAGTAGTTCCAAATAGCTTCGGAAGAGAATCTTCTTCACTCCTGACTTTCGCGTTAAATCATTGAATTAAAGAGACATATCATTCCTGCTTCAAAGAGCATATGATTTCTATCTCCGCGTTTTAAAAGAAGATATAAACAGTTAAAATTTCTTACATCGTTTAAAGATTCCCCGAAATAACCTAACCTTCTCAAAACCGTCTTCAAAAATACGAAATATTCCAGTGTGGACGCTATTATTTGGAAACGACTTCCTAACATGGTCTCACTCTCGTCAAGTCTCAAAATTTAACAGAAATGGCGAACTCCGACTGAATTTAAACGTTTCACGCGCATTTATGCGACGAGTAAGCAGTTATATCGCCATGGATTGCAAAAAATGGTGTCGTTGTTAAATGTCCTATGGCACACTTAACAACAACTTTTCATGGATCTGCTTTGAATTCTCAAAACACAGTCAATCGAAAAGAGGGTTGTTTTCCTCCAGCAGCCCAAAGGGAAATGGTAAGGTTTCCGGAACACATTTTTGCTTCAACCTAAGAGAAGTCATCACAGGTCAACGTTTTTTCTTTGATAATCACCGAGGTGCTCAATCGAAGAGGAAACATAACGTAGTTGCTACCTCAGTTGCCAAATCTTGCAATCACAGTAAATACAATGAGCGATTGGCTTGACGAAGAATCTACACTCAAATATGTTAAAAACCTCAGGTGTGCAACCTACCTTTAGCTACAGGTAAAGCGCGTTTAATAGCGAATATTTTCAGTCCGAGGAGTACTGCGTTGAAAATGTTTTAAGAAAGCATGCATCTTTCATTCTCTCCAAACTTCCCGCCTGCTTCATGATAATGAACGCATGCTGACACATGGATCAATTGTGCAGCGGAAAAATATATATTTCACAGTTAAGGGGATTCCCTTGTTTTGCATTGAGCAACCTTTTCTGCGCATAACATTGCGACATCCAAGATTACCGCCGTTCTTCCCGCTAGCGTGAAAAGAACAGACAAGGGACGCTTTTGCAGAGCGAAAGCTTTTACTCGTAATAAGAATGCCGCAAATCGGCTGACAGCCTCCTGGTCTGCTCTCGAAAAATACGTCCCAGTCCCCACCGCGCAAATTCTCCATCCTGACTGCGATCTCAAAACCATGTCCACCTTTCACGGCAGTTTGTGAGGAAACATGAACGGTGAGACCCGATTTTTTTTTCAGGTATTTGCTATGAGCAGTCTAATAAAGAACATCGTCGTTTATGTAGTGATGACTCTGATTTCCACCACAAATCAGAGACAATGTGCCAGTTTTTCGATAAACGTGGTTACCCTGTTTCTGACGTTCAAGCGGGTTACCACCGCGCCCAACTTATTGATCGACATTCAGCACTACAAACGTCGCAAAAGGAAGATTCCGACCGCATTCCATTCACTCTCACGTTTCACCCTCACAACCACTCAGTTAAATCCATCATTCTTAAAGACTTTAAATTACTTCAAAACGATCCAGAGACAAGCACTGTCTTTTCGCAGCCTCCGCTCATTTCATTCAAACGCGACAAAACATAGGCAATTTTTTGGTCAAAAGTTCTTTTCAGACTAATGACCAACCAGGCACTTTTAAATGCGCTCGTGCACGATGCAAAACGTGTCCTTTCATTCACAACACTGA